TAACTTCAATTTTTCCTTTGATTTTAGCATGTATTGCAATATTTGTCAAAGAAAAGAAACATTCAAATAATGAACCAGAAAAAGAAAAAATTAAAACTATTGAATCACTTAAACTATTTACTAAATTTGTGTCTTAACCAGTTATTTATAGGTAATTATTAAAAATAAAATTAGACCGATATTGCTAATCATGGTATTCATGTCATCTCCATCAATTTCAACAGCTATGTTTTATTTTTATACAAATGTCTTATAATTTGGCCCAGATTTCATTGGTGAATTACGACTATCTTATTCTATCTGTTCTATTTTAAGTGCTTACTTATTTAATCGATTTTTAAGGCATGTCAAATTTACGAAGGTTTTTGGATATAGTACTTTTGTGTACTGCTTAGTTTCTTGCTAAACAACTTTGCTAGTAACAAGAAAAAATGTTAAACTTGGAATTCCTGATCGATTATTTTGCTTTGGAGATGGAGTATTAAACTAAGTCATAGGAGAATTAAACACTATGCCAGTTTTAGTACTAGCTTGTAAAATGTGTCCTAAAAATATTGAAGGCACAATGTATGCTCTATTAATGTCAGCTATTAATTTTGGAGGAATGGTTTCTTAAGAATTAGGAGCATTATTAACATATTATGCTGGTGTAACAGACGATAACTTTGATAATTTGGCAAAATTAATAGTTATATGCTCCCTTTGTACAATGCTTCCACTGCCATTTTTAGGAATAATTAATGAAGATTAAATGGCAAAAGCTAGAGAAAAACATTAATATGAATCTGTACCAAAAATAGAAGAAGAAGAAGTAAATTTTGAATAAGAGGTTGAGGAGATAAATGATACTAAAGGTGTTAATTAACAAAATGAATAGTTATTAATTTGATAATTTTATAATATTTCCTTATTATTATTCATAAACTATATTTACAGTTTTATTTATATTTGTAATAAGACATGATTGTATTTTAAAGATTCAGTTGTTTGTGTTGGTAGATATTGAAAGACTTAAATATCCTTCAATTACGAGAAAAATTACATAGATTTTATCAATAATTTGTATTATTTCAATTAAAAGTATTTGATAAAGTTCTTTAAAATCATTAATATGATTAAGCAGCATTAACAATAATAATAATATTTAATGATGGCTAAAATAAATGCTCCTTCAATAAATGAATAAAAAATTTGTTAAATAATTCTACTTTCTAAATTTAACAAATAATATTCATACTAAATATTTTTTAAGTGCAATCATGATATTTTATTATCAACATACCAATTTAAGGCTAATTATCTTCATATATGGATATTTTTGTTTTTTTCAAGAAAATTAAATTGTTTGCATTGATTGAAATTTATAAAATAATTTGAAGGTAAAAATCTAGTTTATTCAATAAGAAATATATCATCAAATAAGATAATAAGAATATAAACTATTTAAAGTACTATTTATAACAAATATTTACTTCAGATTAATCATACAAATGAAGACATATTATAATAGAATTAAATTCCATCTTTAAATTTCAAATACCAGAAGTGGAAATCTATTTATTGATTAATGTTTTTCTATTCTTATGTTCACTTCAAGTTCTATTATCTTCGATTCTTAATAAAATATGAATAATTATAAAATTTTCAATCATAATAAATTCTAAATTTTTTGACTTAGTTAATAATATTTCACATATTTTCAGCCTGTTAAAATATCAATTTTGATTATTAAAATTTCTCTCACTGCTTAATTTTCTAATGATAGTTGAACAATTTCTAATCTTTTTTATGAAACTCTAATTATCAATTCTTTTTCAGATTCTATGACCTACTCAAATGTTGAATTGTATAATAAAACATTACTACCATGAGAACATTTATTTGAAAATTAATATTTATCATATTAACATTAATTACAATTTCTGAAAAAACTGTCAATCGTATTCTATTCTTAACATTTAACAGAAATTTTAAAAGTAATAGTGGAAATTTGTTCACCCACAATTACATTTATATTGCCATCATCTGTAATATTTTTATTCACTTCAACTATTTTTATTTGAAATGAATTTTTAAAGCTTAAATTTAAATCATTGACTTAAATAATTTGGATATAACTACACTCTATAGAAGGAGCTAACGTAAATAAAAATAAATACCAGGAATACATTTATTTTAATAAAAGCCCCATTTTTTAATACAAATATTGGATTCAGTTTCTTTTATTCCGTAGCAAACTTGACAACCGATTGAGCATTTGGCTATATATAAGTCTAAAGATGAAATCCCAAAAAAGGCAGTTTTTCCGGGAGTTTGAGTTGTTGACAAAACCATATTTATTTCTTCAGAAGTATGGGAAGTAATGCTTTAAACATTTATTATTTTAACTTTTTGTTTGATACCACCACAAATAAAAGGGAGATTAGTGTTTTCGATTTGTAGAGAATACACACTATTATTATCAATTTATAGTGCAAAAATTTCATTTAACCAATCACCAATTACCCACACTTTAAATACAATTTTAATTTGAAAATGAATAGGTAAATCTTATAAACGGTTTTCTATTTAATGCCCTTATTATAATACGGGATATCCACCAGCAATTTCAATACCTCCACAAATACTTGATGACAATGGTTCGTTGCCATTAATTAACCATCCATCATCGATCATTGAATTTTGCCAATATGATGCTAAATTACTCCAAATAATGCAATTAGATGTTGAATCCTCACAACTTAAACACTCTTAAGGACATTCTAATATTCCTAATATGAAAGTATTTATTCCCCATGCTTCCTAGAATATTAACATTAATACATTTTTTGCAACTTCATCTAAATTTGAAGTCATTATTACTGTAAGCAATGATGAATAGTGTGGAACTTAAATGTCAATATTAACTGGAAAATCATTAGCAACTATTGATGTATAGCCACAATAATCTCCTCCAGTGTAAGTAAAATATTTATCCTAGTATTAACCTTAATCAACCATTAATAAAAAAGTCTCTGCATCCCAACTATCGATTCTGAAAACTAATGATTGCAATACTTCCAGAATCTAACTTAAACTCTTACAGAATAATGAGGTGGAAGCTTAAATTGTTTAGAAATTAAGGAATCTGCTCCAAACGTGGAGTGCCCACCCAATAATTTTTCACCATTACAAACTTGAAATTTTTCGCCATATGAATTGTAAATAAACCAGCCTAATTTTATTTTGTGGGTTTACCATCATCATTATAATTTGAGCCTTCAAATGCAGTGTAAATTGTTTTATATTCTTAGGCAAAGACAATGGTAAAACATACAATATACAATATTATTTTCATTTATTTTAAATTTATAAAGCCTCAAAATATTATGGCATAAAAGTTTGTTGTTTTCGAGTAATTAGGTTGATCAAGATTTTGTAACTAACACTCCTTTTAAACAGGTAAAAATGCAATGCAACTTCTTAACAATATTTTTTTGTAATTCTTACACTATTAAAAACTTAAAATACTAAGGCTTTGAATTTAATTATTGTCAAATTTATTTTTATTGTAATAGTTTTTATTATATTTCTATTGATTCTAATACTAATTAAATGATGTAATAGGAATAATCTACATTAATCTTTCATATTATAATTCCACTTTTGATATTCAATAATTTAATTTAATAGCTTTAAAAAAGTTAAAAGAATTAGAAGTTCTGCTTATTAATCAATATAATCCAAGCAGGATGAATTTTTTTAATCTATGTGATTCTATTTCCAAAATTTAATTATTAGTTTACCAAATAATGCGTAAATTTATTAATTTATATCAATACAACGATTATCATATCAAATAATGGTGTAATACTTCTCTTTTTAAAATTAAAGTAATAAATTTTTTATAATCAAACTTATGTTTTTCAATATAAGAAGAAACTGAATATCATAGTTGAAAACATCTTTTAAGATTAAAAAAAATTGAAAAACTTCAATCGGTGGTTGTATTTCTCTTCTAAATTGACTCATCAAATAAAAACTAAGGTCATTTTATTTATGATGAAAATAAGTTAATGTCAAATTAAAACGTATATTCAATTATCATTAGCATGTAAACTTGACGTTTTAAATAAAAAAAAAATCTTTTTTGAGAAAATTTTATTAATTAATATTCAAAATAGAACAAGGGTAACATAAAGGGAAGATTACTTTATCTATTTTAAATATTCAACTCAAAATATTTTACAAGTATGAATGCAAATGTTACATTTTGTTTATTATTTGAATATATTCATCCTACCAGACTACCAATTATTTAATTGTAACAAATATCAAGATCCTGAATACGTAATTTCTCTTTTCATCTATGAAACTAATGCATGTATTTAATCACATTCATATCATGGTTTCAGAATAAACTTGGACTGCAAATATGTTTTAATTCTTTGTTTAACTAATAATTAGAAGCATGACCATTTAAAGCATGTTGATGTATATTGAAATTAAAAAATGAAATTAGCTCTAAATATTCCAAGTATTTTATGGCTTTTAACAAAAAATAAACTTTTCATGTAGCTAAATTAAAAGATAATAAGAATAAAATTATAAAATTATAAAACAAAAAAATTTCCCAACACTTTAATATACTGAATTTTGTTTGAAAACCCATTAATATCAAAATGTATCAAATCCAAAGTTTAAATATTTACGAATATATATTTATATTTCTTATTTAAATTAATAAATCTTCTCCTTTAAATATTAATAAAATTCTTCTTTAGATATCCTTTAATAGGCATCTAATTAATATCAATTTTATAGAACATTAATTCTATTTCTTTATTTAACAGTTGTTATATTTACAAGATTTAGTTATCAATACTTTGTGTTATTTAATTCTTAAATTTTCAAACTAGTTATTTTAACACTTGATATAATTTCAATTTTCAAAAGAAATTGTTTTTAACAAAGAATTTTCCAATATTTTCTGATTTAATCAATATTTAATTATCAAAAATATGAGGCACTTTCTCATGGTTATCTTTTTTCTTCAGTAATCTATATTGGCTATACCAAATACATTATCAGAATACCAGTTTTCAATAACTTTGATAGTTTTGTATTTATATTTTTTAGATTTTTCATTCGTTGTAACTTGCCCTTAGCCAGGATTGATATGGACGATCAGATATGAATGGATAGCTATAAATGATTAAAGAATATCAGTGATAAATTCATTTAATATGAACCCACCATCAGATGAAGTCTTTAATCATCAACTACTTAATGCAAATGCTGCGATAATAGGCTACAGTGAGTAATTAGACTTTTAGTTATCAGTATTTATTTTTAAGAATTCTAGATTACTTAATTATCAGTTGATAATGTTTCTGTTGGAATCACTAAAATTACAGGTGAATTTGAGAATTTAACATTAATTGGTTATCAAATTCTATTAATAGCATTTAGAGAAATTATTGATCTTGGATTTTTTACTTTTATACCAGTTTATAATCGTAATACAATTTCTTTACAATCGGTTAATTGTTTATAATGCCAGTTCAAGGAATTAAAATATAATTACCAAAGCTAATTGACTTTAAATTTGTAAAAAACTTTTGGAATATCATCAATAACATAGTAATTCTAAAGATGTAAGATGTATGTCAATAAAGGGGCTCCTATTAAGATTAATCATATTACACAATCTAAAATCTCTGGGTATCTAAATATTTTTTAAATAATGTAGCATTAGAATGCCAAACCTTAAGAAATTAGTTAGAAATTAAATTTTTCATTAGGTAATAGACCTTAATTTTATGTTAAAATTTTGTCAATTTTTATCTTTCANTTCATATCATGGTTTCAGAATAAACTTGGACTGCAAATATGTTTTAATTCTTTGTTTAACTAATAATTAGAAGCATGACCATTTAAAGCATGTTGATGTATATTGAAATTAAAAAATGAAATTAGCTCTAAATATTCCAAGTATTTTATGGCTTTTAACAAAAAATAAACTTTTCATGTAGCTAAATTAAAAGATAATAAGAATAAAATTATAAAATTATAAAACAAAAAAATTTCCCAACACTTTAATATACTGAATTTTGTTTGAAAACCCATTAATATCAAAATGTATCAAATCCAAAGTTTAAATATTTACGAATATATATTTATATTTCTTATTTAAATTAATAAATCTTCTCCTTTAAATATTAATAAAATTCTTCTTTAGATATCCTTTAATAGGCATCTAATTAATATCAATTTTATAGAACATTAATTCTATTTCTTTATTTAACAGTTGTTATATTTACAAGATTTAGTTATCAATACTTTGTGTTATTTAATTCTTAAATTTTCAAACTAGTTATTTTAACACTTGATATAATTTCAATTTTCAAAAGAAATTGTTTTTAACAAAGAATTTTCCAATATTTTCTGATTTAATCAATATTTAATTATCAAAAATATGAGGCACTTTCTCATGGTTATCTTTTTTCTTCAGTAATCTATATTGGCTATACCAAATACATTATCAGAATACCAGTTTTCAATAACTTTGATAGTTTTGTATTTATATTTTTTAGATTTTTCATTCGTTGTAACTTGCCCTTAGCCAGGATTGATATGGACGATCAGATATGAATGGATAGCTATAAATGATTAAAGAATATCAGTGATAAATTCATTTAATATGAACCCACCATCAGATGAAGTCTTTAATCATCAACTACTTAATGCAAATGCTGCGATAATAGGCTACAGTGAGTAATTAGACTTTTAGTTATCAGTATTTATTTTTAAGAATTCTAGATTACTTAATTATCAGTTGATAATGTTTCTGTTGGAATCACTAAAATTACAGGTGAATTTGAGAATTTAACATTAATTGGTTATCAAATTCTATTAATAGCATTTAGAGAAATTATTGATCTTGGATTTTTTACTTTTATACCAGTTTATAATCGTAATACAATTTCTTTACAATCGGTTAATTGTTTATAATGCCAGTTCAAGGAATTAAAATATAATTACCAAAGCTAATTGACTTTAAATTTGTAAAAAACTTTTGGAATATCATCAATAACATAGTAATTCTAAAGATGTAAGATGTATGTCAATAAAGGGGCTCCTATTAAGATTAATCATATTACACAATCTAAAATCTCTGGGTATCTAAATATTTTTTAAATAATGTAGCATTAGAATGCCAAACCTTAAGAAATTAGTTAGAAATTAAATTTTTCATTAGGTAATAGACCTTAATTTTATGTTAAAATTTTGTCAATTTTTATCTTTCAAATAATATATTTTTTAATTTATCAATACTTTAAACAAATTAAATATATAAGAAAATTGTAAAGTTTTCATTTAAAGTTTATTAACCCATAAACAATATTGATTTCATTTTGGAAATAAAATCCATTACTTAAAAGAGAATCATCTCTAAATTTAATAAATTTAACTCTTTTCCTCCAACTCCAGAAAAATCATCAATATAATCATTTTTTGTCATAAGTAAATGAACTGAGTAAGCTATTTTCCAAATTTCACTCTAATACAAAATGTAAACTAAGAATCTATAGTAATTTTAACAGCCTAATTGTTTAGTAAAACAAGTATCGTAATTTTGGATTTATTGATCCTAAAATAACATTTCTCTATACTTTATAATTAAGTCAAAATAGAATAAACCATTATTAGTATAGAATTTTAAGATTAATGATAAATTAAAAATATTAAATTATAAAAATTTATAAATGATTATTGAAGCTTTTATACTAATTTTCCTTTCCAAGAAGGTGTAATTCATCCATAATTATTTTCTTGTATTGTTCTGACATTCCTATTATTCTCAATTCTTCTTGCTCTGTCTTTTGAATGTGGATGAATTATATGATAAAATAATTTTTTCATAATTCAATATTTTATTTGTGTATAATTATAATGTAAAACCAATACTTTGATAATAGTTCTTATTATTCTACCCTCAACTCTCTCATATTAATATATAACATGTTTTAATTTAAAAACAATCCATTTTCATGACCAGGATTGGCTTGNATCCAAAGTTTAAATATTTACGAATATATATTTATATTTCTTATTTAAATTAATAAATCTTCTCCTTTAAATATTAATAAAATTCTTCTTTAGATATCCTTTAATAGGCATCTAATTAATATCAATTTTATAGAACATTAATTCTATTTCTTTATTTAACAGTTGTTATATTTACAAGATTTAGTTATCAATACTTTGTGTTATTTAATTCTTAAATTTTCAAACTAGTTATTTTAACACTTGATATAATTTCAATTTTCAAAAGAAATTGTTTTTAACAAAGAATTTTCCAATATTTTCTGATTTAATCAATATTTAATTATCAAAAATATGAGGCACTTTCTCATGGTTATCTTTTTTCTTCAGTAATCTATATTGGCTATACCAAATACATTATCAGAATACCAGTTTTCAATAACTTTGATAGTTTTGTATTTATATTTTTTAGATTTTTCATTCGTTGTAACTTGCCCTTAGCCAGGATTGATATGGACGATCAGATATGAATGGATAGCTATAAATGATTAAAGAATATCAGTGATAAATTCATTTAATATGAACCCACCATCAGATGAAGTCTTTAATCATCAACTACTTAATGCAAATGCTGCGATAATAGGCTACAGTGAGTAATTAGACTTTTAGTTATCAGTATTTATTTTTAAGAATTCTAGATTACTTAATTATCAGTTGATAATGTTTCTGTTGGAATCACTAAAATTACAGGTGAATTTGAGAATTTAACATTAATTGGTTATCAAATTCTATTAATAGCATTTAGAGAAATTATTGATCTTGGATTTTTTACTTTTATACCAGTTTATAATCGTAATACAATTTCTTTACAATCGGTTAATTGTTTATAATGCCAGTTCAAGGAATTAAAATATAATTACCAAAGCTAATTGACTTTAAATTTGTAAAAAACTTTTGGAATATCATCAATAACATAGTAATTCTAAAGATGTAAGATGTATGTCAATAAAGGGGCTCCTATTAAGATTAATCATATTACACAATCTAAAATCTCTGGGTATCTAAATATTTTTTAAATAATGTAGCATTAGAATGCCAAACCTTAAGAAATTAGTTAGAAATTAAATTTTTCATTAGGTAATAGACCTTAATTTTATGTTAAAATTTTGTCAATTTTTATCTTTCAAATAATATATTTTTTAATTTATCAATACTTTAAACAAATTAAATATATAAGAAAATTGTAAAGTTTTCATTTAAAGTTTATTAACCCATAAACAATATTGATTTCATTTTGGAAATAAAATCCATTACTTAAAAGAGAATCATCTCTAAATTTAATAAATTTAACTCTTTTCCTCCAACTCCAGAAAAATCATCAATATAATCATTTTTTGTCATAAGTAAATGAACTGAGTAAGCTATTTTCCAAATTTCACTCTAATACAAAATGTAAACTAAGAATCTATAGTAATTTTAACAGCCTAATTGTTTAGTAAAACAAGTATCGTAATTTTGGATTTATTGATCCTAAAATAACATTTCTCTATACTTTATAATTAAGTCAAAATAGAATAAACCATTATTAGTATAGAATTTTAAGATTAATGATAAATTAAAAATATTAAATTATAAAAATTTATAAATGATTATTGAAGCTTTTATACTAATTTTCCTTTCCAAGAAGGTGTAATTCATCCATAATTATTTTCTTGTATTGTTCTGACATTCCTATTATTCTCAATTCTTCTTGCTCTGTCTTTTGAATGTGGATGAATTATATGATAAAATAATTTTTTCATAATTCAATATTTTATTTGTGTATAATTATAATGTAAAACCAATACTTTGATAATAGTTCTTATTATTCTACCCTCAACTCTCTCATATTAATATATAACATGTTTTAATTTAAAAACAATCCATTTTCATGACCAGGATTGGCTTGTAATTAAATTAATTAAATTCAAATCTGAATAATAAGAATATTTAATGATGAGAATGGAGTCGGAGGGTAATATGTCAATTTATCAAATTTATCATTAGTAGTTTTTTTCTTAATTTTTTGTTAATATATAATTATTTTTTTATTTTTAATGTTGATGATTTTGATTAAACTTTTGTAAAGCTTTGGCATAGAAAATTGGGTTTTTTTGCTTATTTTCACTTTATAGGGCTAATTATTATCCTTGATTCATTCTAACTTCTTCACATTTCCATTCCAAAACTTTAGATTTTCAAATTTTGATATTAAAACTCATGGTTTCGCCATTAGATTAAAAGTTTGAAATATTTTAATTATTTTAATATGCAAATGGACCTAATGTTTTATACAAAGTTATATCTTCAATTACTATCCCATAATCTTTATAAAGTTATGATGATTAATTAATTCATAACAGCTGGTATTCTTAATAACCCAGTAAATGATGCTAGGTTATATTTAAAATCTATATCCTAAATGCTTATTTGAAATTTGAAATTTTAATAACTTTCAATACATTGAAATTTTGATAAGATTACTAATTTATTGGAGACATCATACTTTAAATAAAATAATGTGACGATAGTATCTCGTTTCAATGTAAAGATCTAAAATAAAAAGGAACTATAGTTTCATGAAAGTACAATTTTATTTTGATTTATTTTAGAAATGTTAATCTTTTGATAAAACCTACTACACATTTGTGCATTATAATAGCATTTAACAAATTGAAAGTTTAATATCCCATCAATTAATATTATTTTTTAGTATAAAATCATAATCTATTAATCAATAAATTGAAAAGGTCTTTTTGTAAGCCAGTGTTTTTAATTTAAAGAGCATATCCACTTTCTTATATCCTGGTACTAAAATTTTGGATTCCTGAATTATTATTAACTTTGAAAAATTAATTTATAAATTTATTTT